GGGGGAATGGAGGGAAATGGGCAGGGAGTGTTGGCAGTGTCCCAACATGCTCACGTCACTCCTCTTGTACCCAGAAGTGATGTCATCTGGGGACGCCCTGGCATTTGGGCAAAGTATAGTTTAACCACTGAGTTTCACCCAAATGCCAAAGCATCCCCAGCAATGTGCTGATGTCACTTTTGGGTGCACAGGGAAGGATGTCAATTCATCGGCAGTGACATCATTATATCGCCAGGAAGGGGCCCCGGCCACTGAGAAGTCCCCCAGCCAGCAAAGAAGAGGAGGAAACTCACTTAAATTGTTCATCATGTGAATAAAACGGAATGTTATGATTTAATGTCAGGAAGAATAATCACAGTAGCTGATTACACTGTCATTAGAATTTTATTTTTGTATATGAGCCATGCAAACATACAAAGTTACTTATTTATTTAAATTTATAACCTGCCCTCCCCGCGAACGGGCTCAGGGCGGCGTACAGATGGGGCCAATGCCCAATACATAAAACATTAAAACTACATTTAAAAACATTCAATACAACTTAAGTGCTCGCCATAATATCTAACAAGGGAACAGATGACGTCATCAGGATAGTATCCTTAGTGACCACAGCTCCACGCAGTACCACCATTTTAGCACTCATGGCGAGTTGGTAATAAAGGGCTAGGACAGATAGTAATAGTCGTAGACAGATGGTAATATATAGCACATTTCAGGTGTTCAAACACATGCATTCTTTCAGTATGCTGTAGCATACTATGCTGTAACAGTCTATTACTGTACTGATGAAGCAGGCTCCGGCCCATGAAACCATATGCCACAATAAACCTATAAGCCTATGAGGTGCCACAATAGTTTTACTTTGGCCCCAACTAGAGTTGCCAATCTCCAGGTAGGGCCTGGAGGTCTCTTCACAGCTGATATCCAGTCTACAAAGATCTGTTCCCATGGGAAAAAATGGAAACTTCAGAGGGTGCCTCGCCACTGTTATATGAATTGTCTACTAGCCCTTTATGATGGATTTTATATCCATATTATTGTGTAGTGGGTTGCCGCATGGATGGATGACAGAGACTGGCGTAGTGCATAGCACGCTTTATTACTACACAACAAGAACAACCACTAACGGCCGGCAGGCCAACTATATACACTCTAGGGACCCACCCCTCGACCCCGTTGGTGGGTTTGAATTTCCCGCCATGGTGCCCATTGGTTCCCTAGTGGAAGGACTAGGAGCCTAGTCCCTATTGTTCTCCCAGAGTCAAGCTCTGGCTGTTCGCTGGCCCCCGGTGGCGGCCAGCATAGACAACACATATTTATATTTGTTCTGATTTTATTTGTTTTAATATTTTTATGTAAGCCACCCTGAGCCTGCTTTGGTGGGGAGGGCGGGGTAGAAATCAAATAAATAAATTGCTGCTGCGTTTGCTCCCCTCCCCCCAAACTCCACCATCCCCAGGCTGTGCCCCCAAAAGCTCAACCCAGAGCTGGCAAACAGACTAACAACTGTCTGAGTGAATTAGCTGTATTATAAATGTGTGCGTAGTAACAAGCAAAATTACTACACACAGAATTTGGATCTACAGTAAGTAAGCTTTCTGCCATTTCACATTAAAGAAAACTTTCTCTCATCTTACTTCCTGCACAACTAACAGAACTTGGGAAAGGGGAGCTTTTCAAAATACTGTTTTTCAGAGGAGCATACCGCAATAATAGAAATACAAACTTTAAACAAAAAGGTATAACATTCCAAATATAATACCCCAAATACGCAATGAAAGAGCAAAGCAGGAGATGAATAAAGTGAATGACAATGAATACATCGTAAATATACATATCAGAACCAAGGGCTAACTACTAAGCTACCCCAAACAAGAATATTTCTATATAGCATGCTTAGTGAGGGAGCTAAGCAAACAGCTCATAGCAGGGCCTTCCACAGCTCTGGTGAAGGAACTGAAAAGACCCTGCACTTTTTAAAGAGGTCAATTTAGCCTGTGAATGAGATAATACCTTGAACCAGGCTCTCTCCAGCCCACCTTTGATAATGAAGCCATTCACATAGCAGAAGAAAAAGAAGAGCTGGCTTTTTCTCTACCCTAAGGAGCCTCAAAGCGGCTTGCAAGTGCCTTCCCTTCCTCTGAAGATGTGAGTAGTGACTCACAAAAGCTCATACTCTACCACAAATTTTGTTAGTCTTTAAGGTGCTGCTGGACTCTTGCTCTTTTCTCTCCACAACAGTCACCTTATGAGGCAGGTGAGGCTGAGAGAGTTCTGAGAGAACTCTGAGTGGCCCAAGGTCACCCAGCAGGTGTCAGGTGGAGGAGTGGGGAATCAAACCCAATTCTTCAGATCAGAGTCTGCCACTCTTATCCACTATACCATGCTGGCTCATCCTTTAGAACTTTATAAGTGAAGGCCAGCACCCTGAACAGGGCCCAGAAACATATCCAGCATGGTTGTTTTATTACTGTGATGCAACTGCTAACTCACAAATGACATAAGTGTAGCAGCAGCACTTTTCAAGTCATCTTCACTGGCAATCAAACTTAAACTAGATTTTTATTTATTTTGTCATCAAGTCACAGCCAATTTATGGTGACTCCATAAAGTTTTCAAGGCAAGAGACATTCAGAGGTGGTTTGGCCTTGCCTGTCTCTGTGTAGTGACCATGGTATTCCTTGGTGGTCTTCCGTCCAAATACTGATCAGGGCCCTGTTTAGCTTCCGAGATCTGATGAGACTGGGCTAGCCTGGGCTATCCAGGTCAGGATTACAGGAGCCTTTTCTAGAGGACACTAAGGCATAAATGATAGTGTCTAAGTGAGGTGTCTGTCTTCCAGCAGAAGGTGCAGCTGACACACTTGTCAAAGCTAGTACAAAGGAACCCCAAGACCAGTGCCACAGGAAATCTAGGATCAGATCTGGAACCAAAAGCATCACCAAGTTGTAACCTGATTTTTCAAGGAAAAGACATCCCCAGACTAATGCAGTCTTTCTAGTTACAACCAGTCCACGACACCCGCTATCATTAGTTCTACTTTATCTGGATTTAGCTTAAGTTTATTCATTCTTATTTAGCTCATTACAGAATTCAGATATGCATAATAAAGAATTAGCTTAAGTTTATTCATTCTTATTTAGCTCATTACAGAATTCAGATATGCATTCAGGGATCACACTGCCTCCCATGGAAAAGGAGAACAAAAGGTGGGTATCATCCTCATGTTGACAGCCCCATACCCCATAACTCCGGACAACTTTTCCTACCAGATAAAAAAAATATGTGAGACAAATATTATCACTTAAGAATCCCACACCACCAGTGAAGGAACAAAAGTCATCTAATACCTGGAACCTACCACTCAGGAAAAGGGAAAAGACACCAACCTCTTTATCTCAGGTTCCAAGCAGCAATCCAGAGGAATCCTGTGATCAATGGTTTCAAAACCATATAGACACAACATTTAGCTTAGAGTATCATCTGCACTATAACTACTGCGGTATAGTAAAATGGACGCAAATAATATCTAGCAGAAAACTTTATACTAGAGATAAAACACAAAATAAAACTGAGACAGACTATGCTACAAGGAAGTAAAATGGTTATCAGAGATAAATGCAGCATTAAGCATTTCCTGCTTAGCAGCTGAACTTTTAATACTGTACAGCTGAACAACGAGCATCTCTTAGGAAAGTTCCCACTACTGCTTTATGACAAATTACATTGTCAATCGGTAAGAACCAATACCAAGGAGCGTAGCTTTAAGAATCACACTTTTCCAACATATGTCCCTTAATGCAGCTTACAACATATTAAGACAGTTAATACTGTACAGCTGAACAATGAGCATCTCTCAGGAAAGTTCCCACTACTGCTTTATGACAAATTACAATCGGTATGAACCAATACCAAGGAGTATAGCTTTAAGAATCACACTTTCCCAACATATGTCCCTTAAGGCAGTTTACAACATATTAAGACGACCATAATAAACTGATTTAGCACCAAAAGTAAAGGTAATAAAATAAATAATTGAGCTGAGCACCAACCATAATATTCAATATTTTTTATTCACTTGCAACTATTGGCCAGCAATACCAGTGCCTTCTTTTGCCACAATACGCTGTCAACCAAAAACAAGCATCCTTCTTCCTAAGTTTTTTTTTTTAACTTACAACTGTACGCTGTCAACCAAAAACAAGCATCCTTCCTCCTAAGTTTTTTTTAACTTACAACTATCATAAGAAGCATGATCTAATAAAGTGTTTCACATTTTGTTCAAAACTGGCTTCTTGATACACAGTGCAACCCTACGCACCCTTATTAGTCCACTGCTTTGGACTGCGGTCGTCTTTTACATCTCTTGACAGTTTGGAAGTCACCCACCTGTGCAAGATACAAATCCAGCCACCCTCTTCGCAAAAGGATTAGGTGCCAACAATGCTGAACCACAAATCGACTTCTTATTAGTACTTAGGAGTACATGCAAATACTAATACCAAAAATTCAAGAAACATTCCCTATACCTAGACAGTACAGTATAGGTACAGTATAGTACAAAGTTATTCCTACTCGGTGGTATACAAACTTTGCCTGTACTTAAGATTCACGCGATAACATAGACGTTCTTAAAGGCATTTTGACGTTTGCTGCCTTGTTGACACAATCCCTCCCGCGGGTCAGAGTTTCTCCCACGCCTCTCTCGAGAAAGACACCTGACACGAGGGAGCAAGCCCCCAAAGTATTTCAGAAAGGCTTCCTTCCGCGTAAACACGCACCCGGTCGTGGCAGGGTTTCTCAACGGGGCACAAGCTAAAGCGGAACCACAAGAACTTGGGTGGTGGACCTTCTGACGCGGCTACCATGCTAAAGGTGAATAAAAAGTGGAGAACGACCGAGAAGCATAAATGCCGGGTCTCAGGCGGCTATTCAAGCCGAGGAGAGAAGAGCTACCGGCATCCCAGAGTGGGCTGCGCTGCTCTCGATTTGCCACTTACCTGAGCGAGGACTGTCAGGAAGCCGCCAAGGTCTACCTGCTTGCTCCACCCTTTATGCAAGCCTGCCAACGTGACACCTCCTGCCACAGCAGCAGCAGCCACCCACAGGCCCGTCCCCCGCTTGTGGCTCCTGGGGGCCCTCGGCGCCGTTGCCGCGCCCCTCAGGCAACCGCGAGCCACCGTCGCTAAGGCAGCTCTCCGGGCCAGCGCCATTTTCCCGGAAATGGAAAGAGCTCCGAAGCACCTTAGCCAAAACATCGCTTCTGTCAGGAAGACGCGCATGCGCATTCTGTATCAATTCTTCGACGGTTGTAGAATGTTTGCGCATGAACGGTACGTTGGAGATGTAAGGGGCTGCTGCTTCTTTTCCTGTTCCATTTTCCTTCCAGAAAGACCGAAATGAGGGTTGCCAGACGGGGAGGCTAAAACGCCCCTAGGAAAAGCACCTTTCCGCTGCTGCTACACATCGTTCTCCCAATGGGGACAGGGGCAGAGCCAGTTGAAAAAGAAAGGAAGTACTGCCATGCAGTGTTCCCGCTGAGTTAGTGTGAGCTAGCGCACAGTTTTTTAGCCCTCCGGCTCGCATATTTTTGTCTTCGCTCAGGAAGCATGATTCCACAGCAAACTAATTTATGCAGGAGCCAAATCGCTCGCTCACAACTTTAATGCTAGTAGCCCAGAAAGTAGAATTTTTGCTTACAAGACTCCACAGCTTCGAGGGAGCATTGCTGCCATGTTCCTCCTCCTTAGTGGACAGTTGCCCTACCACTCCTGGGTTGGCAGGTCAAAGTAGGTCATCATCGCCATGCCTGTGCTCCTCCGTGCATGGCAGGACGTGAATACATAGACCGGCAGGATGAAGCCAGGCGCTGCCATACCCAGACTCCTTAGGATAAAGCTGGGTGCTGCCACACTCCTTTTCACTCGCTAGACCATGCCCAGGCCAGTGAGGTGAAACTGGGCACCATTGTGCCTGTGCTCCTCTTTGCTCACCAAACCAGGTGCCACTGTGCCCATGCTCCTCCTCGCAGGGTCACAACTGGCCATACTGAGCCAAGGCTGGTATAGGATGAAGCTGAGCACTGCCATGTACGTCCTCCTCACTGGCCGTACTCTGGCCGGGTTAACAGGACAAAGCTTGGCATCATTGTACTCCTTAGCTGCCACACTATGGGAGTAGGTAGAGCTCAGAGCTGGTAAAGTAAATAACAAATCCAGACCAGAGGTTGCAAATTGTTCTTCTGAAGTATCTGAATTCCATGGTTTGTATCGTGCCACAGAGTATTCTGTGTTTGGCAAGAGTCAAGTGTTTTAGCTTCAGATGTACTGGAAAATAAACTGTTGTTTTCTGCACTGGGACATGCTTATGTGAGTCCTCACCAATGCAGTGTAGTGGCAACAGAGTTTCCATATGGCGGTTTTCACTGTTCCAGTCCCCCATGGCAGTCATTAACCCACTACAGGGGAGAGGGCCTTTTCCTAGTTTTTTTAAATCTACAATTTTAATATAATTGTTATAATGTTATAACAATTTGCACATCAGGTTTTCTGAATTCCCAACTTTCATTTTAAAGAATGTTTTGCGTCTTTTTCATTCTGCAGTGAGATGAGCTAGCAACTTGATTTTTTTTAAAGAAAGAAAGTTGGGAATTCAGAGAACTTGAAAGATGTCATAACAGTATGTCAATTGCTGGTTTTGGTTTGCCAGCACACCAACAACTTCACAGGTAGATGTTCCCTTTAATTAAAAAGTAGTGCTTAGCTAAAAAAAGGTTGCTTACCCCTGGACTAAGCAATGGAATAAAGGAATTCAAAGAAACTGTCAATGGTGTGAACATGTACAAAATACTGAATGATCGCAACAGCTAGTCCTTACAGATCAAGAGATCTATTGTAGGGTTGCCAACTGCCTGGAGGGGAAAAAATCATGACCCTTTAATAAAACTTAATGGGATATTATTTACCCGGTGATTCCCTGGAAAGCTTCAGGTGCCCACCTCCATTCCCTGGAAAGCTTCAGGTGCCCACTTCTACATATGGAAGCCTTTTCTACTAAAGGGACAGGATGTTTTCCTGTGGACTGGTTAATAACCTTTATTGCCAGGCATGCATGGACCTGAGATAAGGCTTAGGCCTTCTCCTCTGTACTATTTTCCCCAAGCTGAAATGGCTCTGGGAAGCCACCATTTGTCCTGTTGGGAGAATCTACAAGCAGCCATCAGTATATATAGGTTTTATCAGGGGAGGAGGCGACTAGTGGGTCCTGGAGCCATTTCCAATCAGGGGAATTGTAGAGGAGGGAGACTGAAGCCTGCTTTCCTCTTGTCCCATGATACCAATCCAAACAGCCCTAGAATATGGCAGATCAAAAGTCTTTGTGGCATCCACAAGGATTTTGTAACATGTGAATAGGACCTCAGACAACATGTTACTTGTACCCATTGGTGTGTCTTAAGTATAACCAAGACACTGATCCTGCAAACCAACAAAGACATATTAAAGAAGGGGTCCATCGAGTACTACATTTGTTTATTTACATTTTTATTCCTCCTAACACATAGGAATAACATGTTAAACATGTTTTAAAACAGATAAAAAATTAAAATGTGTCTCTATCCACATAATATATCAATATATCTAACTCTAAACCTTGCCAAATCTGACAACATTTAGATTTTGATACTGGAGACATGAAGGGACAAAACAGATGTTTCTACAAACGTGAAAAATACCCCAGATGTGCAGAAAACTCAGATATATATGTAAACCCCCCAAAATGATAAAAGTAGCACCTGTAGCTTTAAGAAACAGATGGCCTCACTGGCCATTGTGAGGCAACTAAGTATTGCCAGCACTCCAGGCTTGATTTCTGTAAGTAAAACGCAGGGAGAGGGGGCAGGGCCTTTTCTGGGGCTGTTTTGGATTTTGAGGGATGACTCATCTTGGGAGAAGCTATGGAGCTTATAGGAAAGAGAAAGGGGGGAGGGGAATTAATTTGCTCCATGCAAGTTGTTGCAGATTCTAAGTTGTACATCTGAATAGTCATTTAGTAGCTAGGAGTGCTGGCTGATCTATGATGATAATAAAGGTAAGTGAGTAGGTTGCTGGGAGTAAATGGACAGTTATTTGAATTCTACATTTTGTTAATAATGTTATGGATATTTCTAAGTGGGTTTTAATTTGACTGTGTTTAACTGTGGGTTGGTTTTCAGCCTGTGGATATGGTCCATTGTGTACTTGTTAGATTACCATTTGTAAGAAATTTGATGTTGTAGGGCATTCTGGAGGGTTCCATCCTGTATTTTTTTAAAAAATCCTTCAACAAGAAGTCTCTTAGAGAGAGAAATTGTCCTGAAGCACACAAATAAAACAAGTCAAGATCAGTAAAGCTAATTTTATCCTTTAGAAAGCAGAAAGGTTTATTAGGGACTCTAGATTCCTTAAAATACAATGCAAGTAATATAATTTTGGTGTAATTACCATGCTATGAAACTGGAGAAAGCAACTTAAATTCAAGAAAGCAGGAAGATCATTCCCCCATCAGTAAAGTGGGTAGTGAATGTGTAGAGACACTGTGGCAAAACAGAGGGAAAGGACCTGAGTGGGTCTTCACAGGCAGGCAGGACCCCTGAGGTCACACAGGAAAATATTGAATTGTCGGAGGAACTTTGCCTCTCCTGAAAACTGACAGTGCTGAAGGCTGTGTATAAATATTGCTCTCACAGTATCAACTTAGGCTCTCAGTTCTGGGATTGTGGGGCCCTGGTCTTATACTGTGGTATTATGCACCACTAATGTGTGGCCAGCTGTAGCATCCATCCATCCAAAAGGGTTAAGTAGACAGGCTCTAGAAATATATAAAAAAACCAAAACTAAAAATAAATTGTAATAGTTACAATAATAACAATTAAAATTAAACAATTACTACTTAAGAGAGCCAGTTTGGTGTAGTGGTTAAGTGTGCGGACTCTAATCTGGGAGAACCGGGTTTGATTCCCCACTCCTCCACTTGCACCTGGCTGGATGACCTTGGGCAAGCCATAACTCTGGCATAGCTGTCCTTGAAGAAGAGCAGTTTCTGTCAAGAGTTCTCTCAGCCCCACCTACCTCACAGGGTGTCTGTTGTGAGGAGGGGAAGGGAAAGGAGTTTGTAAGCCGCTCTGAGACACCTTTGGGTAGTGAAGGGCGGGGTATAAATTCAATCTCTTCTTCTTCTTAATTACTATTTAATGTTACTAATACCAGTAATTACTGTTTAATATTACTACTGCCATTCTGGGATTGTGGCTGAGGTGAAGCAAGCCCTCTTTCTGTGGCTTCACTTCAGCCTAGCACCTGAATGAGCAGGGAGAGTACACATTTTTTCCCCTCCCCATATGAACATTTACCTTGAAGAAAGTTCACCAAGGGGAGAGGTGCAGTTTGGCTTCATGGAGGGCACTTCTTCTGAGGCCCATATGTACTTGACAGTGTATGTATGGGTTTCCCCCCATCTGATTTCTTATAGAAAGAAATGAAGTATTAGTGAACAGTATTTCAAGCAGCTTGGAAAGTATGGTTTTGACAAAAAACAAACTCTAAAGGCTGCCTTATGCTTCTGGAGAAATGGCTTCTTTGCCTGAATTGTTATCCAAGGCTACTGGTTATAGTAATTAAAACTGGAATGGATGTGGGCCAATAAACTGAAGTCTAGACAGTTCAGACAAAATTGAGTCAATGGAGAATCTGTTTGAGGATTGAGGAACCAGACTGTCCTGGAGGGGGTTGTATTCCTCCTGAAGGAGCAGGTTTGTAGCTTGTGAGTGCTACTGGATCCTGGCCTATGGATCCTGGGGGTTCAGGTCTCCTCTGTAGCACATAGTCCCTTGTATCAGTTTTGGCTAGTTCACCAGCTGCTTCCCAGGAGTTTGAAGGTAGAGGCTCACAAGCCTGTGGGAGTCTTGCTTCTTCAAACTTCCTGGATCCTTGGATAGGCAACTATGAAACTGCATCAGTTTGCTTGCTAGGTAACTAAGCTAAAACTAGAAAGACAGAAGGGTGGTAGAGTGGCAATTAATCCAAAGAGTGATTAACACATGGAATTCACTGCCACAGGAAGTGGTGGCAGCTACAAGCATGGATAGCTTCAAGAGGGAACTGGATAAACATATGGAGCAGAGGTCCATCAATGGCTATTAGCCACAAGATATAGATAGGAACTCACAGGCTGGGGC